CTGAAATCCGCGTAAAAAAAAACCAAAATCCGCGTAAAAAAAAACCGCGTAAAAAAACCGTGTAAATTCCAAAATCTGCGTAAAAAAAACAACCGCGTTAAAAAAACCGTGTAAAAAAACCGCGTTAAAAGCGACTCCAGTGTATTCGTTTATTATAGTTTCATGGTTTGTAGATAGAGGTTTCAATATGTTTTCATATTTTTCCTTAAAAGATTAGGCTTTTTTACACAACATATCAAAAAATCAGCGATGTGTTGTTTTTCGTTAGCTGATGATCAAAATTTCATCCTTGAAAAACTGCACGTTTATCAGGCAATTGCATTTATCAAGCACCTACTATGGCGACCAGCGAATCCAAATTGCGTATGCCGAGTCGGCAGTCACCTAATAGCTGATTTGAGGCAAGGCTATTTGACAGCCGGTATATCTCATACGTTGAGCCATTTTTTAGCTTCTGTTATATAACAAAAGTATAGTGTAAAGTTTTGTAAAATATAACTGTTACACACTGAACCTATTAGCACTCAGATTAAGATCTTTCTTAAAGCTGAGTAAATCTTCGTGAGAAATCTTAGAATTTTTTCCCGACTGTTTCAAATTTAAACCCATTGGTCTTCCTGCGACGTTTACAAAAATAACCTCGGCTAGTTTTTTGCCTGCTTTTGGCGACAAAGTAGTTTTCACTACATGCATGACGTTTCCTAGGAGAAAGCTGCGTCAGACATAATTTGCTAATTTTTATGAATTTTTTTTTTTTTTCTGTGGTATTTTTTTTTCTAACAAATATCTACAAACCCGCACATCTTTGACTGTCAAGTTTGGTTTGAACTTGTTGTTAACATCTTTCTTCTGGATATTTGTGAACCTCAATTTTCATAAACTGCTCCCTTTTCTATACTGGTAAACGGGAATGTAACATGCGTGAGTCGTATTCACGATATTTTTTTAGTTGGCGAACTCTCATTTTTACCCTGCTCATGCCCTCGATCACATTTCGTAAGGGAAGCGTGAAAGAGAAATTATTTCTACTATACCTGTTTTCTAAGACATAGAGTGGGAGTTGTTCAACCAACGACCCGATGAAACAGCTTATAGAAGTTACATTCAAATTCAAAGCCCTGTTTTTCCTTGATTTCCTTGAACTTTGATGAAATTCTTAGAAATTTCTTGATGTTCTTTGACCGTCTCCTTTTTTTCTGAAATCCTCAGATATTTCTTAAAGTTCCATTACTTTCCTAATGTTATTAAATTTCCATCCTAAAGTTTGCCAAAATGTCTTCACGTTTAAAGGACTTTTTGCAGAGCTTCATTGAAATTCATATAATGTTGCTATAGTTCACAGAACCCTCTTGAAGTTCGTAGAACTTACCAGAACGACATTGAACTCCCCAGAAGCTCACAACACGTCCCTGAAGTCGGCAGAATTTTCCTTATATAGTTTATAGAGCTTCTCTGAAGATCGAAGCACATCTTTGAAGTTTTAATAATTTTCCTGAAGTTTGTAGAACTTCCCTGAAGTTCAATAAAATAATCAGAAAATTGTTGAATTTCTCTGCTTTATTGGAGGAAATTATTTAAAGTTTGCAGTACTTTTCTAAAATTCACTACAGTTCCCTATAGTTTGCAGAATTTCCTAGAAGGTCGCTGAACCTTCCTGAAAATTTCCATGGACAAAATATGGGAACTGCAATGAAGCTCTAGCAACTCTGTAGTAATTCAAGGTGAGGGCTACCTAAACTCACTGGGCAAGAGTAACTAACCTCATGTGAGTTTCATTCCTGTATTATCGGCATTATCGGTTAAAAGATTTTCAAAAAATATCGTCATGGTTGCCAGAATTTATTTTTGATCCCGCCGTTGCGTCAAACATATCTATTTATTTTTAAAAATCCAAGCAAATTTTCCGCCCCTCAGGATGATTATGTGGTAAATGCCACCTTCGCCAGCTGCTGAGTACAAGACACATAACTTTCGGATACCTACTATCTCCTTTATTTAACTCCGGTAAAAATCTTTCAACGATCATCGCTACTAAAGTGGCTTCATTTTTTTTTACAGAGTCGCTTTTCGAAGCACGACAAGCGAACTCTCTATTTTCTTAATTTTTCCAGATTTTCTACACGATACATCCATAAAAAAAAACACTCAAAATAGGACGAAAATCAATGCCTACTATGATTACGTGGCTTTCTCGGACTGTCCTGCTTGCTTCTTTCTCTTTTACTATTATGAGGAAAGAGAAATTAAACAAGATATTGTGCTACGAACAAATATTATTTGATTTATCACAAAGTCGACAAAATCAAATACTTGGGAGTCAAAGAAAACTTCTTTAATGCCATTTGGATTAATGCAATCAACTTTTGACCCTTATTTGACTGCATTGGTTCAATTCGTAACAGTTGTATGGTCAATAGTCCATATACGCCTTCATTATCGACTTTGTAAACTTTGACTTGCTCTCAAAAAACCCAAGATGAAATATTTTAAAACCATCACAGATTTGATTGTTAGAATCAATGCTAACATCCTGTGAAGAAAAATCTGAGGTACATAAATGTTGCAAAAAAAGTGCCCGCAGACATAGCGTGCGGCTTTCGGAATTCACGCGGTTTTCGTAACTTACATAATTTAGATATTTCTAAATATCTTACTTATTTACCACGCGGATGTATCTACGCGCACACGTCACAGCATTTTTTCTATAACTTTCTTGAAACAATGCACATGGAATCCAGTGTTCAAGCGGCCAACATAGGCTAGTTCTTCTGCTGTATTGTCAAAGATAGAAGCAAAATTTTATTCAAATGGATCAAGTCTTGAAAACTAAGCTGGCACGCAGCTCCAGCTTGATACTCAATAAAAAAAAATTAAAAAAATAACAATCTTGGGTCTAATTACGTAGGATTTGAGGGGGAGGATGGGAGGTTTCAGAAGTTGTGACCGGACATGTATTAGGTATAGCAAAATACACCTCGAGGGGGGAGAGGAGGGTTTTCTGGGGGATCAGAATTTGGCCATGGAAGGTCCCAATGTAGTAAACTATTGAAAAAAAATCACAGGATGAGTTTCATGAATTGGCCACCTTTACGGATGTCTATAGTCCCATATGGTCAAATAATGTTCGGCAGTACTATATTGGTGTAGTCATAGATCAACGGTCAACTTTAGTATTCATTTTTTCTATTCACCCAGATTTATTCCGGATTGTAGCCAGTTCCTTGTGGGCATAATGACCAAATGGTATCCAAATCACTGGAATGGCAAAATGGAGCATTTATCTTCCCATTCAGGTAGATTGAGAATCTAAGTAAAAACTATCATTTTATAGAAAACAAACAATCTTGGGTCTGAAAGATTCAGAGGCCGACAAGGGTTGAGTGCTCTGCCGAAGTAACCTATCTGGGCATGTTGTTCGATGAAAAGCTCCTCATATTGGCATATAGAGAAACCCGTAGTTAAGTATTCTGCCTTGGTTAGGTGCCTGTATCCGCTGATTTGCCGCAGATCCCGCCTTTCAAGGGTGCACAAACTGGCTGCCTACAAACAAATTATAGCAGCTGCGATCTTCTATGCAACTCCAGTGTGGGAATCATGTGCACAGACTTATAGAAACAAAATCCAAGTCGCTGAGAAAAAAGTGCTGAGGATGGTCCTTGATCGTCCCTTTGACACAAGAATTTGCGAACTTCAACTAGAGGCGAACATTCCAAAATAAGATTTTAAAACTGATTACATTAAGAATAGGTTTGTGCAGAAATACAACACATTTGAACATGCTTTGATAAGCAATTTTTATATAGTGGGTTAGGTGTACATATTAGTAGAGTAGAGTAGAGTAAAAGTAGACCTCTTTTTTGAATTTCAAACACACCAATCCCACCAAGGTGGGAATGCTCTAAAAAGGCCTGATAGGACTAGGAACTCAATAATTTAAAAAAAATCAAATGATCTAAATTTGAAAATACGAAGCACTTGAAAAAAAAATCATACATATTAACTACACAAATTCAAGAACAAAATATCATTTGAGAAAAAATAAAAATTCAAATAAGATAAAAACACACATTGAAAATTATTTAAATAATTACGTTAAAACCTGTTTTAAAATGCTATTATCACTGGAATCAGTAGTATATAATACATATTTTATAAGTTATTGTACTTCCATGAAACAAACTATACAATGTTTTATCGTTTTGATTCCATTTTTGTGATAAAGTGGATGATTTATGGGATCGTTATCCTATTTCTAGAGCAAATGGAATGATTTTTTTAAATAAATTTTTCTGGGTTCAGAAAGACTGTGGGTAGAATTTAATTCCGTAAATGTCTGCGAAATAAATCAAATCCATATATCCGTAGAAGCTACTTCAATATTTTGAACAACATTTTCAATAAGCTCAGCAATGAAGGGCCGCTCATCGCTAATATTAACTGTTTCGAGTCTAAGTCACACCTTTCTTGACAAAAGAAGCCAATGACAGGGCCCCATTTGATATTACATTTGTTGTATGAAACGTATGTAGAGATTGTAATAAATCCAACCATACATAAGAGAAATTTGTTTTGCGTGTATTACACCCAGTTCCCCTATTTATCTTTTTGTAAACTTTCATTTTCCAAAACATTAAATACGGAACTATCCATGAACCCCGTAAAAAATTCATTGGCAGATTTTCTCTATTAAAAAAAAAAGATTTTACGACCCAGTAAACGCTTTTCACAATTCGTTAAACATCACTCTTTTACGACGGCGACGCTGTCGTCTACAGCACAGAACTTCCACGCCAGCGAAAACGCCACCGCAATCGAATTACCGTCCTGAGTCGAATTAAATGTGATAATTAGAGGACGGCAGTAATCACAGTCGCTTTATCTTCTTTCTTTTCATGTGTTCTTCATGCCCACACAAACACACACGCACACTCAAAACATCGTTCCGATAATGCTGCAACGACGTTTCGCACCTCAAACCTTCATATTTGGTTTCGTCCCAGGCAGCAGAAAAAAGCCACTGGTGCCGACGGCCGTCGCATCTCAATGACGTCTCCGTTGATCTCTGGCGGAACGTGACCCAGGAAAAGGAAAACTGCCAGATACTGAACTACGACTGGGACTCGGTCGGCTCCGAACAAGCGCTGGTAGGTGTAATTCTAATCCCTTTTTCATTAATTAGTCCGCATGAATAATGACAATTAGCAGTCACAGGTTGGGTAATCGCTAGATGTCATCTTCTGTTTCTTTCTTGGTGGGGCGTGTGGTACTGAATAGCGAAATCTGAGTATACCGGGAAATCTATCCTACATGACTTGCAGCTCGTGGGAGTTCAATCCCAACGATAATCTCGGCAATACGTGGGCTTCGGAATGGAGTCTGGTGTGCGACAAGGAATACCTTAAGGACGTGGCGGAGATGTTCTTCCTGGTTGGAGTGGCCACCGGTGGCATCACCAGTGGAGTGCTGTCCGACAAATTCGGTCGTAAAAAGATGCTTTTCATCTCGGCTGTCCTGCAAGCTATATTTGGTAAGTTTCTTTGTATACGGTAATTCCGAGAAACCGGCTGTCCTTCAACCAATAACGCCGATTTTTTGTAGGTGATTAGTGTCAATCATGGATTAGTTATCTAAAGAAAATCAGCTCAATTGGTTTAAGGACTGCTGAGACTGCATATTTGGAGGGGTTACTGCAAATTAAAGATTTCGTGTATTAATAACCTACTCACTACTCATCAGGCATCGCGTTGTACTTCGTTGATTCTTTGGAAATCCTGTTGATTCTTCGAGCGCTTCTCGGAATCGTCTCCGTTTCCGTCACCTACGCTGGACTGATTCTGGCCATCGAGTACGTCGATGGTCAGTGGCGAACCATCGCTGGAATGTACAACCTGTTTCCACTCCCTGTGTCCTACATCATGATCTCGGGAATTGCCTACCTGACACAAGACTTCAGAAGCCTGCAACTCTGTATCGGATTACCCGGAGTGTTTCTGTGCTTCCTATGGTAAGTTGCATTCCTACTTTTAGACGATTACTAATATGCATCAATGTGTTTCCACTCAAGCACCCGAGAGGTTGCTATTTACATTGAAAACATTTCCCAACGCTCAAGAAATCCATCAACAAATTATCATCAACCAACAGCGCCTGTCAAGCTAACCAATTAAGAGTAAAAAAGTCATAAACTCTTTCCATCCATCAATGCCTGCCCACGCACATTTCAACCATTAAGTTCATTCAAAACCAAACAAATGAAAAATACGTCTTTAAGAGCCGGCTATTTTTAACCCACCTTGTGTCTTGTGTCTCATCGCGTCACAGGTTCGTACTTCCGGAATCCCCTCGGTGGTTGCTCTGCAAAGGTCGCATTGCCGAAGTGAAGGAAATCGTGCGGAAGGCGGCCGCCTTCAACAACCGTCCGTTGCCGGACAATTTGGACAAACTGCTCAAACCCCCTGCGGACGATGAGGATAACGTGGCCGGCGTATGCGAACTGTTCCGTTCCAAGTACCTCCGACTGGTGACGTTCTGCTTCCTGTGCATCTGGTTTACCATGAATCTCGTCTACTACGGGCTGGTGCTCAACATGAACAGCTTTGGCGGTAACATCTATTTGAATTCGGTGAGTATCGTTGTTGAGCCTAAAGTTAGACACTACTGGTGTGATTTGTTGTGCGACATTCAATCTTGTCATGTAGGTCCTATTCACCATTGACGATTTACATTTTTGCTTCATTGCAGGCATTGGCAGGATTGGTAGAAATACCCGCCATAGCACTGGCAATGTACATTATCAACAGAACGGGAAAGAAATGGCTTTTCTGTGCGACGTTCTTTGCGTGTGCTCTTGCCTGTCTTTGCGCTGCTGTGGTTGAAGGAAAAGAGGATTATCTGTCGATGAAAATTACCTTCCTGATGATTGGTAAGTTTTGGGGATTGAAATGTCAAATATAATCATACATGACATTGTTTTGCAAGGATTTGGCTATTTTATTACATTACATTTGTACAACACATTCATACTACCGACAAACCGACATGAATCAACATCAGCATATTATCATTCAATTTCTGCTCAAAGCATACTACTGGCATCGCGTGTTCGTGGAAAACACGCGTGTAAAATGTATGAGTTGGTTCGTGTCTGATCGATCTATTCTGAACAAATTATTTTAATCTGGATAAAAACTTTCTATGGTTTATGCAGCACACCACACAGCATTTGAATCGGACGTTCTAGATTTTTGAGCAAAATTTATGTTTAAGTTTCATGTAGGTACATTCTATGTAGCAAAATACCCCGTAACGTGGGTAGATCACCTTTTCGTGGTACGTTACGGGATGTAACATCTACCACCGATTCCTAGTCCTGACTACTTCAAGCTAGGGGAACAGAATTTTTCAGTAATCCAAGGAACATATCTTAAGTATTTGTTACTTGTTATGCCTTGTTGATAGTGACATGACTCAGCTTTGTCCACCGAGGATGATTTTGAAACAAGGAAAAAATGAGTTAGTTAGTCTTCATCTATGTGATTCCTAATCTTCTGAAATGAGTTAGTTAGTCTTCATCTATGTGATTCCTAATCTTCTATTCATTGTTCCCTAGTTTGAAGTGGTTAAGACTAGGGTTCTGATGCATGGTTATTATCGGTGTCATTCCTTAATTTTGTTGCTAAGGAATCCAATTTTGACTGACAAAGGGGCGCGCCTTTGGAGGATGTTTCAACACTCCGAAGGGTATAAATAGCGGAACCTTTCAATTAGAGTCGGATCCTTGCGATAAATGCGAGAATGACAACTGTAAAAAAACCGAATACTTCATCATTTCTCAATAGTGAAACTAAGGACACGGGATATACTACAATAGATCAAATTACTGTCGCAGTGGTGTTAGGTCTAGAACAGAGGAAAAAAAATAGAGCAAAATATTTCAACAATAGAAAAGCAATACAATTTATGGCAAATGCCTACTTACAAAGAAGGGAATACATACCGCTTGGAAAACCGTCTTCAAATCCGCAACCCTAAATCAAAACATGAGAACCGATACCGCACTGCTTCGGCTGCAAAACACGGCAGACAGCGAATTGATAGCAAAAGCAAGAAAAACGCTGCAAAAACTAAAGAACAACGTCGTTTGGCGCGTTGTTTTAAGCATTTCCATAAGCCATAAGTGGAGGAGCATTAATACACCGATGCACACCGCTGCCGACACTGCCACCAATCAAAGTCAATGGCTTCACACCAGTACGCCACCGCCGTACAGTGGTTGAAAAGTCCATTTTGACGCTCTTAATTAATAGCACCATGGAGAGTGGATTTCGAGTAATGACGTCTTCGGCAAAGTTGATGAGTATAACATGCTTCATCTTTTGAATGCATGGGTTTTGTGATTAATCGCCCTAAAAGTGAAATGAAAAATTTATTTTTTTACAATGTCGAGATAAATGGTTGCAAAGTTGTACCAAAAATAATTACAAACAACTTTGCTCCAGACATAAAAGTCGTAAATTTCACTCGTAGAGTGAAAGAGATAGAGTGCGTTGTTTGAGGACGGACCCCCAAAAACACGTTTTGCATCAAAACACATATTTTCTTTAATTTAAGGTCTTCACTATGTACAACAAAGTTGATTGGTATACTAAAATACACATCTTTTTAGAACATACTATACCTGCATCATTTTAATAAGATAAGTTATTGATAAATTTTCTTCTATTTTCCTCATATTTCGGACTTGCTTATCTTTCTTAGGTGCAAGAAGGTGCCGATAAAGTCAAATGCATCTAAAACTACATTAGAAGAGCTTTCAAATGGTGGTAATCTTGTCCATCCACGACCGTCTGTTGGGGGAGTTGTGATCAAAACAAGTATCCATATCTTTACTCTGTTTTATGATATAAACCACTGTAAAAAAGATAATCAACTTCAATATATCCACATATTTTTCTGGATTAAATTCTTTTTGTTCAATTGGTTTTTGCATTTTTGTTGTCAATATTTTGTATTGTATTCAATTATCATCATTATTATCATAATCATAACCATTAATACACTGAAAATATAATATCGTTATTCGTATGTAAAAATGCTAATGACGAAAAAGAGTACGAATCATTCGTAGACCCATAAAACAGCATTCATACATTGTACGATAAACAATACATACTTACAAAAGATTCGTTGACAAGTAAGAGGGAATTTCTAGCCATTGTTGTATTACGAAAAAGTTAGTACATTAGCATCTGCCCAACAATCAGTGCCAGCAGAAACAGCAATAATATGAATATGGACACCTGGGAGGACAACAGCAGAATACTGGTGGAACAAACGATCATCATCAAAAATACAAAAAATCAAACCACAATCATTAAAATTTAACTTCTTTATTCGTCGCACTATCACTCAACGTTGAACAAACCCGCTGATACGCATCGTACAAGTATTTTTCATTCATATTCGGGGCACCATCACTCAGCGCGTCTTTAATTCCGTAGGTTGTTTTGTCGCTGGATTTCCGCTAACGCTGATTAATTGGGAACAAATCCATTGGGTAATTTAGTTTCGTCACTTGCATCCATCCACCGTGGGCAGCACAAACATCGATGCACACAGTTTGACCCTGCGATGAAGGAATTTAAAAGAAATTCAACTGGATTAGCTCCAAACCGGATGCCATACGGGAACCACATCCTGCAAATTATCAATTGGATTATTACCCGAAATAGTATCATCAACACATCACATCACAACACATCAATGTACTTACCGTTTTTTATATATAGCTGTCTAATGATGATGGCCGAGTTCCTCTAGCTGTCAAGGAACTAAATTCTAAGCTATAAACTGATTTGCACTGACGATCAAAAGGTAGTTTTAATATCCGTACGAAATTCAGTTCGTGTATTCTACGAATTAAATGTAATGTTGACATTTTACCTGATGATATGCAATAGGAATGTTTCGCAGATCAAACGAAATAATTGTTTTATCTATGAAACCCGTTTTTACGAAATGAGTAGAAGAAAGTTTACGAATAAAAAATTTCAGTGTATCATCATTATCGTTTCCTTCAGCTTCTTCTGCTAGAAGCTGTTTAGCATCGCTCGACAATGGCATCTCGTGCTTATTAGGCCATCCACGAATGCTAGTAATCAATGGATCTGATGATACTAGGAGCCAGTTCAATAGATCACGATTTATAAGCGATCTTGATTGCTTGCGGGTATTGAACTCTCGGTATATGTTAAATAAAAGTTTTATTAATTTATTCGATGTTATTTTGGTTAAATACATGTACCTCTTCCAATCCTTGTTCCTTGCCTCCTGTGCTTCCTCAGAAAGCTGACCGATTGCAACAAGGAAATGTTTAATCACGGCTGATCCATGTATCAATACTTTATGAATACTAGCGGGCAAGTAATACCACGGGTACAAAGAGATCAGTTCAATACAATAATTCTCGATTACAAACTATGGAGAGTTGTCAAATGCCGAAGCGTTTATCTTACATCCGGATGCCATTACCTGCAGTATTGATGCACAGCGATGGAGAGCAGTACGATCTAGACCCCACGGTCGCAAAAAAATCTGCGAGCGACGTTTTTTTTTTTTCGCGCATTTCAAGCTTATTGTGTATGGCATATTAGCTTATTGCGTGCTCTCAACTTAGTGTTCTAGATGCACTTCCACAGTTATTAATTGAAAGCTTTCGATGCCTGTACCATTTTTGCATTAGTATAATTGTGTGACATGTATAATCATACTCTATTGCCCAGGTAAGTCGAGAAATTTTCCAATCCGAAAAATTCCTAGACCGGACCGGAAATCGAACCCAGCCACCTCCAGCATGGTCTTGCTTTGTAGCTGTGCCTTTACCGACTGAGCTAAGGGAGGCCCCGTTACCGTCGTTAGATGTACCAGCTCCTCCAGCGCGTGGTTTATCAACATTTCCCAAGTAACAAATCTAGAGCTGCTTGGCTACATTCAAAATTTATAAAGGTTATATTGCAGCTGCAACCATTACCTACAGCTTTATGACGGGCATATACAATGAAAGTCATGGAACATTCTTATAGCTATCTAGAAAACCTATATATACCGTATAAAAAACCAACTGATGCTTATGCTATTTTCACTTATGAAAGGTTTTATGATTGCCTTGACGTTTAAAAAAAGCAATATGAATTGCCCTTATAAAACCCAAAAATAAATCCTAATATTGCTACATAAGTTAGTGCAATAAAACTAGTTGGCCATGAAACAGTTATTTTAAAACAATTATAAGCATTAACATGCAACTTGTCAGAAGTGTAAATGGGCGGTCGGGAACGGACAAGTTTACCACCATTTGAAAGCACTTTTAATGTAGTTTTAGATGCATTTGACCTTATCTGCACCTTCTTGCACCTAAGAAAGATACGCAAGTCCAAAATATGAGGAAAATAGAAGAAAATTAATCAATAACTCATCCTATTAAAATGATGCAAGTGTTGTTGTATACGTAAATATATGAGCATGATTGACCGGCCACGGTTGCTACTCTGTTATTGCCAGATCAGCTGTACTTACACAGAGAACCAATAGACGACGCTTGGGACTAGCAATCATCCTCAATGTGTAAAAACTGGTGATCTCAAACTAGACAATACCAGCGCCGGCCGCGCCCGAACACAGGTCAAGAAAGGAATGGATAGGAATGTGTTGACGTGACACTCGCTTTGATGGAAGCCGAGAAATCCTCTGCACTTCCACGAGGAATCACTGGGATGTTGGATAAGAAGGTAGGGTTTGCAGCAGGGTTCGTTTTGGTAAACGATATGCTGAATTGACGTCCTAACAATAGGGAGGGGTTACTGTATAAATAAATTAAAAGGAATGATCTCACTCCAATAACCAAGTGGAGCTGCACCAACAGCAACTGGCCTCTTCGTGGACTTTCTTCGACCCATCGCAGGTTAAAACACAGACGTCAAAATTTCGGATCCATCTCGTCGATATAAAATTAATAAAATATAACAAAATAAAAACAACCCCGATTCTAGTCACTTAATTTCTCTAAACTCAAGCTATATATGAATATTTTAATTGCATGGTATGATTGAACTCAACTTTGCCTATTTAATGAATTCACAATTTAAGTAAAGAATCAATTTGCTAAATTATCGAGGTTATTTGAGCATACAAGAGTTATAAAAACAAGTATCCATGAATAATTCTGCAAAGGTAAAACAATTTAAAAACATTGGCCTAATGTATGATGATATTCAATTTATTCTCTCGGTAATCCAAATTCTGAAAACCATATATCATATTATATTATAATAAAATAAAATGTTAATAACAATGATTTGCTATTTGCTGGTCCTTCAGGATCTGCAGGACAACTATTTTCTGTAAATAAAAATTATAGTTATAATGATATAATGGGATTTTAAATATGTGAAATAAAAATAATTCACTTATCATGCAATATACAAACTATAATGAATAAGAAATAAACAAGTATTACAAAACACGAATAAGCTTGATTTGAGTTAACCTCAGTACATTTAACTGATTTCAACTTTAGATATTATAATATAATATTATATTGAAATTGAAACAAACACTTTACTTTGCACCATGGAATTGTTTAAAGCAATATGGAATGGTTTTAAAATATTGGTAAACTTTAAGAATGAATCAATAGTCAGAAAAATCGAGGTTATTTGGAAAGTTAGCAGTTTTCATGCACCTGTTATCATGCGTTACAATGTTTTTGTATTTTCCTGAACGAGGGCTGAAAAAAGTGAACCATTATAATATTATTCTAAAAATGTTCCATAATCGAAGAACTGAAAATAAACTTAAAGATTTAAATCAGTAAATCCAGCCAAAACGAAGGACTCGCGAACACAATAAGCTCCCTCATCAATCATATTCCGAATTTGATTAAATAAGTATTTACAAGTTTACATATAAATATATCAACAGTAATGTAATTTTTTCTCACCTGGAAAGGAAAAATAAAATGGTTAATTGCACTGTCATATAAACGTTAAACATACATTAGAGAAAATCAAACAATGTTACGTTGCTTATTCCAGTTGTGTTTTGGTCCTGTTATAAATGTTTATTATTGAATATATAATAATAATATAATAGGACCTGGGTTTTATTCAAACGCAAACACCACGGTGGTGCCCTTTACACAAGAATAAGCCTCTACTACCGATGATCTTTTAAACATGGAGACAAAAAAGCTACGAAAAAGCGCTTATGCCTTCATTAAATTCTACCCTTAAGCGACGTTAATAAAAAATAATAAGATTCTCTTGAATTGGTCGCGTCGCGTTGGCAATTATGCACGGCACATACAAATTTAAAAAAAATGTATGGACAATTGTCTACGCAGGGGGAGGTGGGGAGGTCAACAATCCCAAAATCCTGCCTAGGTAGTTAATGAACAGCCCCTAAGAGCAATCTTCAACTGGAACGTACTCACCAAATCAATGTATCCGGGAGCACATTCCCGATGCTTATTTTCCTCCCGTAAACCCGTCGTCGTCGACGGGAACTCGGTGAGGAGTTTTGTGATACGGAATTTTCACTGAAAAAAAAACCGTGAATTCACGAATTTCACCACACCCAACTGCGAAACACGTTCAGACGCTCTTTTGGTACACTTTCGGTATCAATTTCGTACGAAAACACTTATTTTTTTTTGCAAAAATAGTTGCAAGCGAACCAACATCAACACCGATCGTACCGAGCTCTTTCACGCACATTATCACTCGCGATGCCACTAATTTCTGGTCCGGGAGAAAAAATCAAACAACGCAGGCATCTCTTCTGATGCTTGCAAGCAAACATGATGAATCACGATTTTTTTCTCGATTCTAAAACTTCCCATAATGGGAGAAAACCACGAATCACACACGAATAACCATCTGGGAGGCAGAGTGCCAGCGCTAATCCGGCAAATCCAAAGGAAACTATGAAAGCGAACGCACGCACAAAACAGAGAACAAACTTAAAACACAACCGTATCCAAAGGCGTTCGGAACTGCACCAATTGTTGTATACGTAAATATATGCTGCACAAAGTGGCAACAGTTGAAAAACGTTAAATTATGGTTACACATTTTGGGAAGTGTTTAACATTGACATAATTTAGAGCTATATTTTTTTCAAAAACTAAGTATTTAGTAACTAATGAGAAATCTAATCCAAATGGCTTCAACCTTCAGTCTGTCGTGCATTTTCAGCATCATCTCAAAGTTCTGTGCCATGATTTCAAGGTTTTCGACGATGCGAAGAAGCTGGACGGAATTCCTGAAGATCTTATTCTTCTTCGCATTTCAAGCTTATTGCTTATCGCTTATTGCGTGCTCTCAACTTAGTGTTCTAGATGCACTTTCACATTTATTAGTTGAGAGCTTTCGATGTCTGTACCATTTTTGTATTAGTGCAATTGTGTGGCAAGTACCATCTGACTCTATGCCCAGGAAAGTCAAGGAATTTACCATCCCGAAAAATTCCTAGACCGGACCGGGAATCGAACCCAGTCACCTCCAGCATGGTTTTGTTTTGTAGCAGCCGCTCTACTGACTCTTTGTATTACACCTTCCATGGAAATATTAAACAGCAAACACGTTCAGAAAAACTATTGACAAAAAATGGGACACCTATGCAAAGCAAACACAGTTGCTAATCCTTAAATTTTCCATTTATTTCGTTCGAACAGGCAAATTCACAATCAGCGCCGGTAATACCATAATGCCGGTCTACACGGCTGAACTCTATCCGACTGCAATCAGAAACGTCGGCGTGGGTGCTTGTAATCTGGCAGCAGGGTTCGCTCTAGTGCTAACACCGTACCTCTCCATGCTGGTAAGTTTAATCGACAACTGAATGAGTTACTGGTGCTTTAACACACTTTATCAAACTCAGCCCAAAATCGAAGACCACCTTCTGATGTCTCTGCTAACGGCGTGGTGTATATTCGGAGCCATTGTGATTGTATTCCTTCCAGAAACTATGCAACATCATGACCACGAAGAACGCGACGAGGAAAAGTAAGTTCACAATGAAACTATGTTCTTTTCATGGAATGATCAATTAATTTTGCTCTGATAGAGAAATTGACACGCAAGTCATGACCTAAAGTGACATCTCGAACCGTACAGTAAGGTAAGGCACAGTTTGCCGCCACGCTAGATCCAAGAGGGAACCGCTACTACTGCCATATCTAGAAGTTGTTCTATGTATTATCAGATGTTGCCAACTGGATTAGTGAGATATAGTGAGCGAATGGGGAGGGTTCGGAGGGAAGTTGTATGAAAGTTGCAATGTCGGTAGCAAGGCATTCAAATGAAATGAACAAAATATAAAATTTGTCAATTGTCGCGTAAGTATTTATAACCAGAAACAGTGGATGTCTAGAGGATCATAGTCTCTTTTCGTTTTCCGTAAAAAAGTGAGTGTATATTGTGAACTTGAACATAAATAGAAGCATTTAAATCTCTGAGCGGAAATAGCGATAGGATTCAGATGAATGTTATCGATGCCATAACGAGCAGAAATCAATAGTCATTACCAATTTTACAATAATCAAATTAGAGATGCTAGTGGAGTATTTTTAATTCTCACTTTTAACAGCAGATTGCAAATAGCCGACGAATTTTCGATAAAATTTTCTGGCTGGACCAGGAAATATGTTTTTACGACACTATTTGAATATTGAACACATGACGATTATTTACATATGAACACTTGAAGCTGTATACGTTGATCGCCATACAACCCCACGAATACAATAGCCATGTCGAGTTAATAGTATTTATAAACCGGAACATCACTGATTTTAGATCATTTTCATCGTATAGCATACATTCAGTATTACAAAAGAGTTCCATTTTGCAACCACTACACTACTAAGGGGTCATGCAATAATTATGTAAGCACTTGTTTGGGATTTTCAAAAACCCCCTTTCTTCCCATTGCAAGATATTATAGCGAATATTTGAATGGTCTGCACACTAAAAAAATCTGAATTTTACTGGTGATGTAAACATCCATGCATGCAAACATTCATGCATGTAAACTTCCTTTTCACGTAAACTAGCGGCTTGCAAGAAATGTTGCAAACAAAGGTGGAAAGTTGCATACAATATATGGAATATTGCAATGACATGTCTCATAAATTTACACGATTTATAATGTGAATTTGTATGATTTATGACGCTCCATTTATGTGCATCATAGTAACGGAAATTTACACTACTTTTTCTTAGCTGTGTGTATATGACTCGTTCATGCTTACGTAATATATTTATGATATCCTCTCCCTTTCATGTAAGAAAAACAATAAAACAAATTGTACGGCCTCTCCCTCGCTAAGTGCATACGTAATTATCAAATGGCCTCCAATCCAATCAACAGGATCACTCAAACCGAAACTTTTCTGAAATGGTTTCTATGGTTTTCACTAGAAACGAGGAACTAATCGATCACAGGATGATGAATACGTCCCGCGTGACATCTTTCTATCATCTCACACATATTCATACATATAAACATTGCATTTATAAGTGTTGCATCATTTCTCCGACAGACATACAGTAAAAAAAAATCACGAAAGCAGTAGATATCTAAAGATAGGATGGTAATCAATCGATGTCGCATTGTGATAAATCGGCAAGCAAAATTGTGAAAAATTGTAACCGTTAAATTCAGATCATGCTTTCGATGTTTTTATCAAAATGATGCAATTCATCGTTATAACATAAATTCAACCCCTGGGGAACTTTGTAGCTCAAACTAACTGAATACTAAGAATATTTGAATGTACTTAAACTGTCATAAGATGTATAATCGAATTACTATTCACTAATGGTGGTGTGTAATATAGTTTAGCGGAACAAGAACAATTTGGAAAACACTTTTATAGCAATGTATTGTCGACCATGCATCCTGACAGTTACTGTACTTTGGTGTATCGGTATAAAGGGCAGTTGGTTGGTTTGTGTACGCTGCATGGGAACTGCTGACCAATTGTTGGTCGACATTGATAGGCATAAACGTTTCGGTTTGGCATGCAACATATCTAATCCGCTCAAGCAAAAGTGTTACCAATTTGTGAAGTTTTTTAGATGTTGTTTTAGACGGCTTTGCTGCTGTAGTGTGCATTAGCGAGTGTGTGACACTAACAATTCGGAAAGAGAATGAACAGAAAATTTATGATTGTTGAACTTGTTTGAGAGCATTTATGGACCAGGCTGGCGAATTCAGCAGTTGGATTTTACCTAGATTGATTTTGTATATTTTAATGGTTTAGTACTTAACTGAGCGATAAACTACAGGATGGGGCGCAGACCTGAACACGTGTAGGGAGGGTGTTATGAAAGTATACAGAAGCTATCAGCGCAATTCACAACTATAGAGCTAGGATATCATTTCAAATATTTAATGAGATTGCTACAACAAATGTACATAACCCCATTCTCATTGATTGTCATATGCCAAAGGAGATCGAACGATTGGTACGAGCAACATCATGCTGACTAGGATAACTATAATAAATGTGCTAAAAACAGGAATATTGGTAAAGTTATGAATGATCCGAACGATCCTTGTGCCGTGGCTTAATACAATTTCCAACATAATTAAATCCAAAAATAAATATTTAACATCTGAATAAGAATAGCATCTGGAATGTATGTATATAAAGGATACCACTCATTGTTGCAGGGCACAGCTATTAGACAGTGGACACCTCGTATGACTTGATCAAGTACGATACCTGGTTGTATTCAATTTACCATTCTATAAAGGGCAAAAAACGGAGGGTAGACCCGTAAGCAGAAACCCAATGGAGCAAGAAGAATCTCCTTCCAATGATAAAAATGGTCCGATCCGATGCAGAACAAGCCATCATACGAAGGGATGTCCCAATGAGTGGGGAGAAGAGCCCACCTTGAATTCACGAAATGTTAACAACAGGGAGTTGGTAATTCCACTCTCCCCATCCAAATCGCTTTAATCACGACGACTACAACAGCGAACATGGAACTCCATTGGATCTTCATGTCCACCATCTGTCACTGTCTGCAAAAATATCTAATAGCAATTACCTGTATTGTGATAGTTCCTTAAACAAAAACAAATTGTCTTGCATTGTCATCTGGTAGTCGCTGGCCCACCGAGCACTCGAAAGGAGCGCTCCGTTCATCATTGAATCAATGCATAGATTATTTTTTTTTTTTTTTTTTCCTTTGGTTTGTTTTTTCCGTCGATCTTGTTTTCCGTGCTGAGCACCAATGCTACCGACGTGCCAGGAAGGCAGCTCCCACACCTGGACCCTACCTATCGACCCATCAACTCATGAACCGGGGACCAACGGCTTTACTTCCCATCCGAAGGAAGGCGTGATCAGAGATGTTATGCCTCAGAACATCCCGGCGGCGCCGACTGGGATTGAACCCAGGCCTGCTGGGGTGAGAGGTAATCACGCTTACCACTACACCACCGGCACCGTTAATGTATAGATTAGTATGAGATGGTTTTTTTTCCTTTATTTACAAGGTTTACAGCTAAATATGATCCAACAGGTTTGTGCCATAAAAAAGGGAGAAAGGCTTTCAGCCATCGGCTGGTTCGCCAATATGAGATGGTGTTATATGCAAAAGGTGAAAAGACAATGAAGTACACACGAAAGGGATAAGTTTCAAGAAATGATAGTTTCATAGGGATTCCCCATCAAACTATACTCAAGGAAAGTATATACAGGTATACCTCGATATAACGTAGCTGTCACTATTGACTTCCACGGCCGATTTTTAGGAAACGATCATTCAAACAAGCAAAGTAATAACAACATCGGACAGATGAGATAATCTCCAATCTATTGGCAATAAGAATGTATATGATTCAATTATTTTTAGCGAGATATTGCCGATGGAAGTCAAAAGTGACAGTTACGTTATATCGAGGTGTACCTGTATACACAAAGTTATATTGCGACAACACTAGTGGAAATAGATATAAAAACATTTTAAAACCATGGCTCCTCCAAACTCAATGAATCACATTAATTCTAAATCATGTGTGTTTGGAAGTCACGTTATCATGTTACAATAAAAATCTAAGAATGAATCGATTGCAAAATATACCTAGGATCAGTGCTGATAAAAATCATTTCTTCTACACTCAAATATGTTGAAAATGAAGGCAACCTTGAAAGATAAATCAACTACCTGCATGAATTTTGACATGATAACATGCTCTTGATCAAGGCAACCGCTGAGTTTTGAAGTCAACAATAATTGTTTTGTTCATTCAAAGATGCGTATTCATTATCGCCTGTTCTGTTGTCATATCAATATGTATTCATAATCATCTCGGTGGGGATGATTTTGAGTATCAAATGCCAAATGATTATTTTTGTTTTACACAAATATACCGTTGTGGAACGTGTTATGCTGCTTTTTTCACTCAGATCAATGGAAGATTATTGCTTTTTGCAGAATTTATGATAATATCGAGGTTTTAGGCTCTGCAATCGATAATATTCAAAATAATCATTTATGGCAAAATGAATGGCTTCTCCAAACTTTAAGAATCAGATTAATTCTAAATCAAGTGTGTTTGGAAGTTACATTATTGTGTTGCAATAAAAACCTAAGAATGAATCAATTGCAAAATATACCTTGGATAAATAAATGAAAATGTAAATCAATTGTAAAATATACCTTGGATAAATATAAGGACGCCATACACAAATGTATGGGAAATTTGAGTTTTCGATGCATGATTTAGCATGTCATCAATTATTGCGGCTCCAAATTAATCAAAGAGTTAGTTCCAATAATCATAAATCTCGATTTTTGCTAAATGTTAAGCAGAAGTTCTCAAAATTCACAAAAATCATTTGTTGATCATCGATGATTACATAGGAGATAGGGTGGGTGAGCCAGTAGTGGAGGTACTAGCCAATTTATTAAGTAAACAATAAATATACGATGTACACACAATTGTTATTCGTCAATCTTTAGCTTCCAACCTCTATTTTGATAGAAAAATATTACACTGTTATAAAATTGCATACAATTTTAGAAAACTCATCCTCCATTAATAGGAACACTATTCCAGTAGTTGTGGTAGTTGCTAACTTTGGTTCCCATAATAGTGGAATGCGTTGGTTTCTTTATGGGTTCCACTATTATAGGAACGCTACCGCAACTATAGGTGCAAAGGAGTGAAAATCTTAAGGAAAATTCATGATTTTCCGTAATATTTGGGCTAATTTTAAGTTTTAAATATGCAAATAAGCTTTATTTTAGGACAGCTACCGATGAAAAATAATCTTATCCGGGTCCTCCTCACTATTCCGGCATAACCTCCATACCGCAACTATAGGTACACCACTATTGCTCGAACACCTACCCTACATAGATTTAGGTGTTTCCTGGGCAAGTTGGTAATTAGAACACTTACTAGAAATGCACTGGGAAGTCATTTGATGGGTGGATCAATTTCACCATTTATTTTCTTATTTAAGATTTCCACAATTTCCTAAAAATTAACAAAACATCAATTTTTTTAAGAAATCATGGAGTCCTCATAGCTACTGATTTAACCCTTATGTGATCGACAGGGTACCCGGGTACCTTTTCAGATTTCAAGTTAATAAATTACGAAGTTATTTTCACGACAGGAAACCAGAATTCAGTGACATCTTAGAACTCATGGAGTGACAACTTTTCGTGAAGAAAGATTTCAAATTGCAGCAAGGGGCTTAGAAAGGGGGGGTCGTAAATTTTTTTACCCTTAAACAGCTCGACAAGGGTACCCGGGTACCCACAAAATTGAACTGCTTGCTACTGCGGCCAATTTTAACCGATTCTGAATCTTTTGGCACCAATGGATTCAGAAACTTATCTTCTTTCTGGACATTGCCAACAATGTCCATCCAGAATAGTTTGGTTCCCGGAAATCCGGATTTTCTGTATAATGTTCCAGAACTAACCTTTTTTTGAAACTTTCGCAAGAATTTTGAAGGAATCGATATCAAAGCATCAGCATTTCCTTCAAAAACAATTTCAGCTTACTTGAGGACCAGTTTAAGGTTTCTCCCCGGAACGGCCGTTCTGGCGCAGGTTCCCGTAGGGCCTCTAGTGGCCATAGAAGTGTTTGGGAAGAAACCCCTGCAATATGGGTATCAAAATTCATGAATTTACAGCAGGAGACTGTTTATCATAATTTTGTGATCATCCGATGGATTGTCCCCGGGACGGCCGTTCTGGCGCAGGTTCCCGTAGGGCCTCTAGTGGCCATAGAAGTGTTTGGGAAGAAACCACTGCAATATGGATATCAAAATTCATGAATTTACAGCAGGAGACTGTTTATCATAATTTTGTGATCATCCGATGGATTTTCTTAAAAACGGCCATACTGACGTAGGTTCCCGTAGGGCCTCTAGTCGCCATAAAAGTGTTTGGGAAGAAACCCCTGCAATATGGGTATCAAAATTCATGAATTTATAGCAGGAGGCTGTTTATCATAATTTTGTGATCATCTGATGGATTGTGCCCGGGACGGCCATTCCGGAGTAGGTTCTCGTAGGGCCTCTAGTGGCCATAGAAGTGTTTGGGAAGAAACCCTTGCGATATGGGTATCAAAATTCATGAATTTACAGCAGGAGACTGTTTATCATAATTTTGTGGTCATCCGATGGATTGTCCCCGGGACGGCCATTGTGGAGTAGGTTCCCGTAGGGCCTCTAGTGGCCATAGAAGTGTTTGGGAAGAAACCCCTGCAATATGGGTATCAACATTCAAGAATTTACAGCAGGAGCCTGTTTATCATAATTTTGTGATCATCCGATGGATTGTCCCCGGGACGGCCATTCCGAAGTAGGTTCTTGTAGGACCTCTAGTGGCCATAGAAGTGTTTAAGAAGAGGACCCCTGCAATATGGGTATCAAAATTCATGAATTTATATTAGAAGACTATTTATCATAATTTTGTGATCATCCGATGAATTGTCCTCAGAACGGCCATTCCTGAGTAGGTTCTCGTTGGGCCTCTAGTGACCATAGAAGTGTGTTTATGCAATGTCATCTATATGCGCAACTACCCTACCCACTGTTCCGTTACAACATACAAAACAAAACAACAATAAATTAGTAGCGAAGCAATCGGTGCTTTTCATTACTATCCGTCTCGATCGGGATCAACAATTGAAAGATAAACAAATAAACACATCGTAGGGATCTCTCCCGTGCGCGATCAAAGTGTTTGGGAAGAAGCCCCTATAATATGGGTATCATAATTAAGGAATTTACAGAAGGAAACTTTGCTCCATGGCATTATTTCGTCATCTGAATATCAGGGGAAGCTTCCTATAGATATTAGTGACGTTTAAAGCACGCACACTAACAGACACAATCACCGTGTGAAGTTGCTCAATATTTTCCTATAACTAACCTCAACATGTATGGATTCCTCCTGCTAAAATGAGTCTGACAGCAGTTTGCTATTATTTTCCACGGATTGTCAATAATACTTTCTCACAAAGCGCTCTAAAAT